AAATTAGCCTGCAGTACCACTGCTCTACCCATATGAGCAGCAAAAACACGTTTTTAGACCAAATGTTACAGATTTGAACAAATACACACAAAAACATCAATATTAGCACAGAAACAGTACTATATAACATTTTAGACACATTCTAGACAGTTTATCAGCTAAAAAAGTTAATTTTGGGGTAAGTTACTCTTTAACCAGACTCTTCAGTGACTGAAACAAAGGACCTACATTCTTCATTAAATGTGAAATAAAGAAGGAACCAGATTGAATGTTTTTATACGAATGTCTGTTTTTATATATCTTAATCAAAGAAATGTGATTTACCTTTTCTTTTACAGAAAGAACAAAACCCATTGAAGCTAACTGTGTTTTTTTTGATGAAATGTTTTTCTAAAGAAGAAGATGTTTCTTTTATTTCATGATTTTAAACAGTGTGTGTTTTATTCCATTATTTAACCCTTAGAAACCTTAGGCCTTGAATTTTTAATTAAATGTGACATTCTTGTTTTACTGAGGTAAACAGATGTCTCTCCCTTTAATTAGATGCAAGATAATTAAACTAAAACACTCCCTTTTTCTTTGTCCTGAAGTGAAGTTTTCCCTCCAAAACAGATTTGATTTGTTAAAAACTTTTCCTGTATAAGGTGTAACATTTTCATTGGCCAACTTAAAACCTTGACTCCGCCCATAACAGAGGTTTTAAAAGTTAGTGCAGCTCCCAAGATCGACAGTTTTTGAAAGATTGAATGAGAGTATGAGATAAAGAGATCCTTTCAACATCAGAAACAGCTCATCAGGAGCTCAGCAGAGGCCCTGCCTGCCGGCCCCTCCACATGGCCTGGTGGGATGAGGTCATTCTGCATCTCCTGCTGATCGATCGAACAGCTACCGTTTCATTTCAGCTCAATATCTGAGTTTGATTTTATAGAAGTTAAATAAGCTAATCTCATTTTTGTGTCTTGATAAAAGATATTATTGGTTCTGATAAGACAAGAACTCATTAAATCATTTTGGGTACATTTATTGTGAGACTGATTACAATAAAGTTACAGTTTTCGTCCCTTTCCTGGGTCAATCCTGGACCGAATTAAGAGYGTGGTGCCTCGAGGTCAGATAATTTGTGAGTTCACAAATTCTCTATTTTAGAATAAATCCAAATTCCCTACATGTCAGTGTTGGTCCTCCGTACTGCAGAAGCCTGATAATCATCAGATCAGGTGTGTTGGAGCAGAGGAACAGGTAGAACATTCAGGACTGTAGCTCTCCAGGACCAGGAGTCTGGACTCGAGGGACCCGGGTACCTGCTGGTGAACTTGTCCGGCTCGTCCTCCCGGGCCTGGTGGAAGTCCAGGCTGAGCTGCGCGTCGATGCCGAGTCCRAAGTAGTTGTTCATCTGGACGATCTGCGAGGAAGAGCGAGTCAGGTCTTCATCACCTGGTTCTGTGAGTCTGTTAGTAAAATATCAGGTGAACCGGACCTTGGGCGGCTCCAGGAACCCGTTGTCCTTGCCCTCCTCTGAGACGTCCCGGGCGTCCAGCAGGATGGTCCAGCGGTCCATCAGAACCTCGTCGGCCTCGTCCACCGACACCAGGATGTGGTACGGGTCGTCGCTGCTGTAACCGGACCCCCAGCGCAGGACCCGAGCCAAGTCGTTACCTGACGAGACCGCATGTCAGGACCCAACCTGAACCCAGACAGAACCTGCAGAACCAGAACCGGTCTCACCTGTTCCCAGCGGGACGATGCCGATGGGCGGTTCCCTGCAGACCAGTTTGTGCCGGACCGCCTCCAGGACTCCCAGCACCCAGCCCACGGTCCCGTCGCCCCCACAGACCAGGATCCGGAACCGCGGAATGTCCCGGAACGTRTGCAGGCTGGACCAGACAGGAAGAAGGTGGATCAGGGACATCTGGACTCAAATCATTTATTTAATCACCTTTTTTATAAACTGACAAGAAGAATAACCCAAACTGGACCAGTTCTATACTGGACCAGTTCTGGATTGGACCAGTTCTATACTGGACCAGTTCTATACTGGACCAGTTATATAGTGGACCAGTTCTATACTGGACCAGTTCTGGACAGGACCAGTTGTTTCACTGATAGAAACTGATCTCCAGATTTCTGCTTCTCAGCAGGCTTTTCAGTGAGTCTGACAGGAGAATCAGCTGAAGATCATCTGAAGATCAGCTGAGGATCAGCTGAAGATCAGCTGAAGATCATCTGAAGATCATCTGAAGATCAGCTGTGGATCTGCTGAAGATCATTTGAAGATCATCTGAAGATCAGCTGTGGATCTGCTGAAGATCAGCTGAAGATCAGCTGAGGATCAGCTGAAGATCAGTTGAAGATCAGCTGAAGATCAGCTGAAGATCAGCTGAAGATCAGCTGAGGATCAGCTGAAGATCAGCTGACAGCTGGTTTTAGCTGCGTGGCGTCCTCACCCAGCCAGCGGGCCTCCGTTGCAGAGGTCGAAGACCTGGTGAGGGTTCAGGAGCTTCCTGAAGCTGTAGAGGAGCTCTCGGCCCTTCAGACCACCGCTCTTTGGGTTGACGAACACCAGCAGGGGACAGACGTCCACTCCCAGCTGGTTGTGCTGGAAAACAACAAAGACTCATGAAGGACATGTCTCCACCCGAGGACACATTTATTTATTATTATTATTTATCTCATTTCCATTAAAACCTAGGATTTAACAAATCAGAACACTGGATCTGTTGGAGAGGGTGGGGCTTAAAGAAACAGGAAGTAAAGTTTCTGCTGGAGTGATGAGGACAGGACTCGGGTCTCACCTCCACCTGTGGGATGAGCAGCGAGCTCAGCAGCTTGTTGTCCACAGACGTGTCCCTCACCAGCATGTAGATCCTCTCAGCCTCAGAGAAACAGCTGATCTGCAGCGACACGGCTCCTGAACACAAACACATCCTGTTCTGATCCTGTAGACCCACAGCAGGTCTGCTCAGGTAACAACCTCCTCACCTTGACTGCTGTACACCTGGCTGACGGCGACCAGGTGACCTGCAGAGACAGAGGGGGAGGAGTCAGAGGACGTGTCAGCTGTGGACAGCAGGGGGCGCTGCAGGTCACTCACTCTTCAGGGCCAGGTGTTTGTGCAGCAGCTGGACGTAGTCCTCCTTGGTCTTCTGCAGGGGCAGTCCTCCAATCAGCAGGTCCACCTGGACGACCGGGGTCCTGTTCTCCACCAGGTAGAACCGGGTCTGGTTCATCTGCCTCAGAGACACCTGGAGTGGAAAAACACCAGGTTTACTGAGACAGAACCGGGTCAGAGAGCACAGCTGGATCCTGGGGTTCCTGTGGTCCACCAACCTTCCTGATCTCCTGCAGTTTGTCCAGAACCTTCTCCTGAGGACTCAGCGTCTGTCTCTGGACTGCAGGACACAAAGAGTTCTATTAATGGGACGGTTCTGGTCCGGATCAGAACCAGCGGCGCCGCTCAGCTCACCTTGTTTGCTGCTCATGTTCACCTCCTGCAGGCTGAAGTTGGACACGTCTTCATCCTGAGACACATGGTCTTCATCAGAACTGAAACCTCTCAAAGGTTCTGTAGAAGACCAGACCGCCACTCACCAGAACTTTTCCAGAACCTTCCGGGCTGCAGGAGCCGCCGCCGCCGTCCTCCTGTCCTCTGAGCTGCAGGAGGGCGTCGCCGAGGACGGACGCCGCAGAGCTCGCCTCTGAGACGGAGACGGAAGCTGAGGCGGACCTGAAACAGGAAACAGAACCGGTCTGTGTCAGCAGAGGGCGCCGGAGTCGCAGCGAGGTGGAGTTTAACAGGAAGTCAGAACTTTAGCTGATGGAGAACAGCTGAAATGAACTAAAAACAGCCGAAGCTGCAGTGATAAACAAACTGTCAGCCGACACCTAGTGAAGAAATGTCAAACTAATCAGCTAAAAGTTATTTACTGCAGCTGCCTGGTTAGCTGGTTAGCTGGTTAGCTGGTTAGCTGGTTAGC